GGGGGGGGGGGGGGTGTGAGGGCGGAGGGTGGTGTGGGAACCGGGTGGAGGGGAGCTATGGGGGGAAAAAAGAGGGACAAGTGTAATAATCTGAATTAAGATTTAATTAAAAAAACAAAAACATATCCTTGGGTGAGGATTAAAAACAAAAACAAAAAAACCCACAAAGCTATAAAAATTTTCACAAAAGATGTTATTGAATCTGAAGATAGCAAAACCCCATTAAACATAAAATCAAAAAACAGTATCAAAAACTTTAAGGATCTGAGATTTTACCCTCCAAGTTAACTTGTGCTATTTTATAAATCCACCTAGCACAGTTTCATAGATGCCAGCAAAAAGCATGAGATTCCTAGAGACACAGGACTTTATTACTCCCAGCAATAGCAGTGGCCATATATCAGCATTTGTATTAGTTTCCTAAGCCCCAGTTCCTACAGGGCAACATAAAGAAGGCTGGATGACACTTGTACATATAGTGGAATGCATTACAGAGAAGCAATGCTGAATTTAGGGAACTCAAATCTCTTATAACAGGCAGCCATCATGCCTGCCCTTTGGTAGAAGGAAATAATGCTATCTTCCAAGCATTTGCAAGCAAGCATTGCTATTTTTCTCTATACAAACTGAATGCTTACTGCAGGGTCAACGAAAGCAGCAAAGAGAAGAGTTAGGAAGTCAGTGTAGCAACCAGATGATGGTGGCTTGAACCAGGATAATGGCAGTAGTGCTGGAAAGAAGTGGTCAAATTCTGGGTGTATATGAAGTAGATTTGCTGACATACTGGAAGCAAATGTGAGAGAAAGGAGTGAAGGAGGACACTAAGTAATACAAAGTATGACTGGCATTAACTGAGATGAGGAAAGAGTAGAGGAACTATTTTGAGGAATGCAGGAGGTCTGTTTTGGACATAACTTTGAAATACCTGTTAAACATCCTAGTGGAGATTTCAAGTAGGCAGTAGAATACATGTTCGGAATTTAGGGTCAAGGTCTAGGCTAGGGACATAAATCTGAAGCCTTAGGATATAGATGGTATTTAAAGACCCAACACTAGATGAGATCACCTATCAAATCTGGAGAAATTTGTTTTAAAATTGCCTAATATTACCAGAAATATCGATTTTATCCAAACCTCTGTTTCCAGGCACAATTCTGCACATAAATCTGATCTGTGTTGAGCAGTACCAAATCCCAAATTTTAATCTGGATTGTATTACTCTCTTTGAAAGGTAACTCTAACACTGTGATACAGGGTGGCATCCATTCAGATCATCAAAGGATAAGGTCAGTTGAACTTACATTGAACTTCTGAGAAAATAGTATGTTTTTAAATAGAAAGAGAGAATAATAGACATTACATGTTGAAATGGGGCAATCTCTAGAACAGCGGTTCTCAATCTGTGGGTCGCGACCCCTTTGGCGGTTGAACGACCCTTTCACAGGGGGCGCCTAAGACCATCCTGCATATCAGGTATTTACATTACGATTCATAACAGTAGCAACATTACAGTTATGAAGCAGCAACGAAAATAATTTTATGGTTGGGTCACAACATGAGGAACTGTATTTAAAGGGCCAGAAGGTTGAGAACCACTGCTCTAGAAGGATTGACATGAAACTGTGAGCAGTGGTTATCTCCCGGGGGGGTGGGATTTAGTACTGTCTATGTTTCTGTATTGTCTGAATTTTTACAATGAAGCATGTGTTGCTTTTATAATCAGAAAATGTAAGAAAGATATTTCTATATTGAACAAAACTAAATAAAAGGAACAGTTATGAATGATTTTCACAAGCAAAAATATATACATACATATATACATACATACATAAAATTACCTAATACTGAAAAAAGTATAGGGACCCATTTATGGCTGATAATTTAGAAAAGTAAACCAACATTAAAAATGGGCCTCCCTTTGACCACGTAATTCCAATTCTAGAAATTTATCCTAAGAAAATAGATATATTAAAAGACTGAAACTTTTAAAATTTATAACCACAAAAAAATGGAAGTAGTCCAAAATCCCAAAAATTATATATATGCTAAAATAGTAACTTTAGTTATATTGTTCTGAGGTTACAGGTGATTTTAAATGTTTTCCTTTTGTGCTTTTCTGTTTTTCCAACTTTCTGTAATAAATAAATAGAACTGTATAACCCTCTAAATAAACTTGTGTTCTTTTTAATAGAGGGGTTCACTGGGCTTGGAAGCATTAGAAACTTTAAAATATAAAATTATCCTAAAGTAATTAAAAATAATAAAACATGACTTTTAGGCAATTATACATTATAAATAACATATACCAAACATACCTGGATTTTCTTAAGTAAAATTCAAAGACTAATGCATTAAAAATACATGTTTCTGCATTATTGATAAAATATGATATAAACTTCAACTCAATGACTTTATACCTATGTAATACAAAAGAGAATTCCCATGTAATTAAAAACTAGATTTATAATTAATGAAATATTTATCTAGTCCTTTATCTCCAAAAAATATCAAGGAAATTAAGAAAATAAACATAATAAATAAAATTTCCTGTTCCTGGATGAAACATTTAAATCATTTCTTCAATAAATATTCATTGATAGGTAAGTATATGCCACACCTTCCCTGGGCATCCTATGCTGACAAAGATAAGAGTTTATAAGGAGAGATTTCTAAAAATTCTAAGCTGACCTTTAAAGGAAAAGTTAGATTTAGATACTGAAAAAAAATAGAATTCCAAACTTTAAGGCTAATTAAACTATAGGAAAAGATACAGAAAACCTTGAACAAATTGCAGGCTATAATAAATATTCAAATTTGGCTAGAGCTAAGGAGAACCAGTATACTATATCCCCTAGTTTCCTTTGCAGCTATGTGGGACCATATGTCTAAATAAGTAGAAAAGTAGAGTGACACTTGAAACTTGACTACATGGCAGGAGCTCCAATAACCATTTTAACCATGAAGGATGAGCTCCACAACCTTGGAATGGCAGAGTAGTAATACCTAACAGAGGCTAGGTTATCTGATGCCATATCAGCTTTGAACTGCCAACACTGGCCTTGTTTTACATAAACAGATTCTTTTCTGTTTTCTACTTACTGTCCTCCAAAAATAACATTATGAAATTGAAAATTATACCATCATTTTTAGTCAAGTCTCATCTGGTTACATGTATCTCTGATTGAGAACTCAAAATATCTTTTTTCTCAGAAAACATAAAAGCTTCTTCCTCATCTATTCTCTGGTACACATACAAACGAATCACCCCTTGGATTTGATTAAGTTGGAAAATTCTTTCTGGTTATGAAGCAGCCAAGAACATACTTTCTGGTTTCAAACAGACCACGGCAGAGGTTATATCATATCGTAACCATGACACCTAGAAATAAGCTTATGCATTAAAGTTCATGTAATTTTGAATGGTTCACTTAACTGCTAAAATTGTAGAATAAGTAAATTTTTTAGGTTGAGACAAAGAGACAGTCATTCAACTTCTTAAATCTTGTTTAATACTGCTAAAGACAATTTTAACATGTACCTTTGTATACAACTATAAAACTTAATACCTATGTACAAATATGTGTGAATAAATATGTATAATCAGATATGTAGATAGATGTAAATTTTTAGTTTCTTATTATAATACACTTTAATACTCTGAGAAACATAAAGGACAAAATGATATAACAGCATTATTCTAAATATACTGTTATTTTAAGTTACTTGTACTAAGTAGACTAACTTGTCATTACACAAAACACACACAAACACACAGTACCTTTAATTTTGTATTCTCAAGATTCAGACTTTCACTTTCATGTTCAATAGAGTGAAGTTTTCTAAGAATTTCTTCACATGAATTTTTTCCCTGGTCCTCCATTTTCTTCAGGTCTTCCAAAAGATTATTGATTTGCCTTTATAAAATAAATTATATGTTTTATAAAGGTTATTAAAATTTCAAAGAATACATTTTAAGTGTTTCTGAAATTATTTTGGTAGGGTTCACTGTTTCAAAAATTAATAGAAGTCATAGAACAAGGGAAATAGGAAGCATTCATCTATATAAAGCTACTACTAAGTAACCTTGAAAATACCAATGAAAAATTATACAACATTCTCTTTGCTATTCAATAAAACAACTAAATTGTCATCCAGAGATATGTCTCTCTCTCTCTCATTCACACGCATACCATTTCAGGACAAGATTAAATAAAAGGATCAAGTGAGGCAATAACTAATCTTTAGAAGCAAGTTATATTTGATAGTTTTCAATGATAATACTGAAGAGAATATATAGAAAATAAGACACTTAAAAGCAAATATTCAGGGTTTATTTTCTTACTTTTTCATTGTTTCAATCTGAACTTCCAATTCGGTTTTTTCTATTACAATTTTCTCATAATGACTTTTCCAGGCATTGGAAGCTGAAATTGCTTCAGACAACTTGGCTTCCTAAAAAATACATAAAGTACTCATCTTGTAATTTAATAACACTCTGGTTTTGTACAGGGCCCTAAACACAAATATGTTATAAACAAGGAAAAATCCTATAAAGCATAGAACTATTCTTATAGGAAATTGCAGTATACAACTCTGTATACAGGAAAGAACAATATCTTTATGTAACTATTATTTTATATGCACGCAGTGGCAGTTCTAACTTAACATTTTAAGGATGTTGCTGAAACTATTTTCAAACAATGTTTCCTAACTAATGAAGATATCTATTTACTGTAGTTTTCATTTTGCATTCTATATACAGAAGACATCAACAACCACATAAACATCAGAGGAGAAAGAAACTATCTGTAATTCCATAATTCCATAGCATTTAATAATGCAGCCTTATTTTATGATGCCAAGCTGTTTTATAGAGGTCACCCCACTGGCCTTCAAACACTGTTACTGTCAGCAAAGAGATGAAAGTGGTAGTGGTGGCTTATCCACTTTGAATGTGAGCTCCCAAAGGTAGAGATTTTTGTTTTATTCATTACTAGGGCCTTGAATAGTGCCTGGCATAAAACAGATTCTTAATGTCAAATGAATCCACTCTTTACAAATCCAGTGAACTGTATAGCCATTGTATCCCTCTACATTCTATAGAAAATCAAATTCACTGGAATGACAACAATGCCAACAATCACTAATCAGAAGATCCAGAAGTAAGTAGTCCCTCCTTAGTTGCAGGGGATCCGTTCCAAGACCCTGAATGAATGCCTGAAACCACAGATAGTATCGAACCCTACATATACTATGTTTTTCCTAGCATACATATCTCTGATAAAGTATAATTTATAAATTAGGCACAGTAAGAGATTAACAACAACTAATAATAAAACAGAAAAATAACAATATCCTATAAAATAAAAGGGTAATAAGCAAATCAACCAAACGGTGGAACGACCAGTCTCTATGTTGTGCACTGACCACCAGGGGGCAGACACTCAACACAGGAGCTGCCCCCAGCCAGCAGGACCTGATCGCCCGACGGGGAATGGGGATCTGGGGATGTGTGGTGGCGAACACGGGCCAGAAGCCAGGAAAGATGGCCCTGATCAAAGGCCAGGCCTAGGGACTGTACCTGTGCACGAATTTCGTACGCTGGGCCTGTAGTACTGTAATAAAAGTTATGTGAATGTGGTCTCTCTCTCAAAATATCTTATTGGACCATACTCACTCATCCTTCTTGTGATGATGGGAGATAATAAAATGCCTTACTAAGTTGAGAATTTCACCTTTTCTCTTAAAGGAAGCACTTTATGGTTTCTCTTTGGATTACCAGAATTGCTAGCATCACTCCTCTTATACTTAGGGATCATTATTAAGTAAAATAAGGGTTACTTGAACACAAGCACTGCGATACCACAATAGTCAATCCAATAACCGGGGCTAAATAAGTGACTAAAAGGCAGGGAGTGTATACAGTGTGGATATGCTGGACAAAAGGATGATTCATAACCCAGGTGAGACAAAGCTGGACAGCACAAGATTTCAGAACGGTAAGCAATTTAAAATTTACGAACTGTTTATTTCTGGAATTTTCCATTTAATATTTACAGACCACAGTTGACTAAGGGTAACAAACTGTGGAAAGTGAATCAACAGATAAGAGGGGGACTACTATAGTTAACACTTATTGGGTGCTTGAGCCTTTCCTTCCATCATTCATCCAATCACTGAATAAATACTTACTGAGCATCTACTGTGCACAAGACATTTTTGTTTATATTTGTAGTTACATTTTTGCTATATTAAAGCAGAGTATTCTGTTTTCAAATTCTATGTAAATGAATTTTAATATGCACTGTGAAGTGTAAGTTGGGTAATTATGTTATATTATAAATAAAGATACTTAGAAATTTTACCTATAAAATAAATGCTATGAAAAATTTAAGACATGATATGATTAATTGTTGTCGGATTACTTTAAAAAGAGTAGTCAAGGAAGGTTCCTCTGAAGAGATGTAGATACCTGAATAATGCTGCAACAGCAAACAAAACAGTGAAACAAACCAACTCCACACATTAGAGGGGTAGAAAGGAGGCTAATATTGCAAATTATAGTATGGCCATACACTGTGTTTTGACATATATTTTCTCATTGTTTTCCTCCCTATAATCATATGATAGGCAGAATTATTATTCCCTATTGTATAGATAAGAAAAGTAAAGACTAGAGAGATTAAGTACCTTACCCAAAGTCACAAGGTTTACAAGCAGAGGAGCTTTCCTATACTATTATCTGGGGTCTGGGTGATATGACGCTTTTTAAATAGGAAATCCCAAGAATGTTAATGAATTCATTGGTTTGATTTTTATCACTCAAGAATATTTTCAGGCTTTTAACTAGGTCTACAATCATCTAGATTTTGAACCTAGTCTTCAACTCTTTTAACTAGTTAAAGTCTTCTGAATGTAGGTAGGTTAACTATTAGTCTTAAAATGTTAATACTTGAGTTTATAAAATGTTGTTTTGTTTACATAAGTGTTTGTGCAAGTCTGTTTTCATTTCGAAAAACCTCTAACAATTCTGTAAGTCTTAACATAAGATTCTAAGAGGTGGGACACCAATGAGACATTAAAAAGTAAATATTTTATTAATTGGTATCTGAGTAAATATAATAATTTGTTAAAAACAACAAAGCACTAAGTCCATTTGCAACTTTGTACTACATGCAAAGATAACTTTCACATGGTGTGTTTACGTCAGAGAATGGTTTTAAATGCATTACAGAGTTTAAATGAATTACTGAATAAAGACATATGGTCAAATAACATAAATCAGCATTTCCCAAACTGGTGTTCCTCAGAAGCAGTTCCAAGAGTTGTTTTGTGGGTAAAAGAAGAGTTCTGCGGTTAAATAAATGGTGGGAAATTCTGAGTTCAATACCCTTCATTCCACTGCTTCACTCTTACTGAAGTCTTCTCAGGGCCTCTAATATGCTAATGTGCACTGTAAGTTTCCAAAGGGAAATATGTATGAAATGTTACCCTTAGTTGGCCATAGAAGCTTTGGGACACACTTAACATAGCCTTTAAGTTCCCAAGGAAATGCTGATATAGTTCCATATGTAAAGTTGACATTTTATGTACTCTTTCAAGAGAAAGACTACAGCAAAAAACTATGAGTAGAGTTTTTCTAGTATCAGTAACCTTAAGAGAAGAATAAAATTATTATATTAAGCATCATGACATTTGACATTTTATGTAATCTTTCAAGAGAAAGACTACAGCAAAAACTATGAGTAGAGTTTTTTTAGTATCAGTAACCTAAAGAGAAGAATAAAATTATTATATTAAGCATCATGACATTAACTGCATAAACTAAGTACATAAAATAGTTCAGTAAGAAAGAATCTATATACTAACCTGGTTTCTAATCTGGGAAGTGAGGTTTTCAATGTCTCCAGTAAAATGTTCAAGCCTTTGTTTGTATATTTTAGATGCCTTTTTCAGGGCCATAGCTTTTTGCCTACTTGATTCTTTCATTGCTGCTGTCTCATGCTTATTCTTTTTCAATTGCAAGTTCCATTGGGCTATCTTGGTCTCTAAGCTCTAAAAAAATATTAGCAACAATTAAACTTTTAGAACTCCAATGTTTATGTAAACATTGCATTAGTATATAAATAATCTTCCACATGAGATTATTAAAGGATTCATCACACGATTAATAAAAAACAAAACAGTGAAGATAGATGATTTCACCAGTGTTTATCTCTAACCAGTTATAGAATACAAATTTAAAATACATACTCTACATAAAACAAATGCTACTCTCACTATGGATAATAATATTGCTGATTATAGTACAAACACTAACTTCCTTGAAACTGTTGTGATTAACTAGAACTTCACATCTAGACTATTACACATAGCATCACTTATCTTGAATTTAAAAAAAGAACAATAGTTGAGCTAGAGACTACTCAAACAATAGGTATACAAAGCTCAAAGGAATTGGTAGTTCACCAAAAATATGATCAAAATCTATAGATCAAGAAGGGTATCGATGAGATAAACATAAAGGTATTTACCAAACTTTAATTTAGTAGAATTAAGGGGCATGCCTTGACACTTAAAAGAGTTCATCAAGGACAATAAAAGTACTGCTTTACCCAGTGAGTAGTAGTGGAAGTTATTCTTCTAAGACTGAATGAGGTTACATAAAGGAATGACTACTAGTTCTGAAACATGAGGGTAAAGAGACGTCTGAAGGCATGTTTCAGTCTATTGAGTTTGATGGTATTAAACAGCATGACTGTTTTCTTGACATATCTCTTGACAACATAAGGAGAGAGGCTACTAGGCTGGGTTAATGATGAATATGATTTAGTGTGACTACTCTCATGTTTTTTCCCCAAAATTATTTTAAGAGTTTGTATTTAAAGTATTTGAGTACTAAGTATCTAAGAATTTAAAGACTTAAGATTTTAATGCTTTTATATATTTTCAGAAAGTTGTGTAATACTGAAAAGAATTTAGTCTCAATGAGACAATCATTTTAATTTTTTAAAAAGCAAAGAAGTCACAGTAGAAAATGGGGCTTTACTACTTAACTCTATGACCAATAACTAACTGCTTTATAACTTCTACTAAAATTGAGATCTTAAATAAGATTTAAAGACTTGATTTCTTTGAAGAGTGACTAGGCAGATAGGAGAAGCAAAATATTCTTAAGCTGTCTTTAAAAATCTATCTTAAACTAAAAACCCCAGGGAATGTTTTAATAAGTAGTTGGGGGGGAACAAATAAGAGCAGTACAGTGTCTACTTAAGAGAAACAAACACCCCACAGGAAATACAGCTGTCATTCCTCTATGAGACCACAGGATGTCATCATCACACCATGAATAATTGCTATACTATTAACCTTTTAAAACACCAAAGGTGAAGCACATTTTCTTTTAACAAGGTTCCAGTCAAAACTTTCTCACTAGATGTATCAAATCCCACACTTAAGCACTAGGAGTATAACGAAACTATTGAATTATTTTTAGTTTCAGAAAAAATAACCCCTCACAGTCATTTGCCAAATAAATAGACACATATTTAAAATCAACTATTTGCCTTTTCACAATTCCAAAGAACTATTAACACTGCATATTATAAAGATAATTATTCTCTGTCTCTTCCAAAATGTGAAAATATTCTAATAAAGATCTAGAAAAAAATGAGTTCAAAGAATCTTTGGGGTATTTCTCAGAGAATTATAATGTAACTTATATTTTTAAAAGGTCCAATATAATGAATTGTGTCAACAATACTAAAAAAAATTGAGATTTATGTTGCCAAACTGAGCTCATTTAGAGTTGTTACTCTAAAATAAGAACTTGTTAAATCTAAATCAAAGAAATGAATTCTGACCTGCAATTACTTCTTAATGCCTTAAATTCCAAAAGTGTGTGGAAGATGGAATGTAGAAAAATCAGTAACCAAATGCAACTTCTTTTAATCATTTATAAACAGTTTAATTTTTAAAAAGTAAATTGAACTTCAAATATTGGACAGGAGGCTGTCCTTGCAAAATCTTAGGAGTTTGGCCTTCCATTTTTTCCTCAAATTATCAGGAATATAAAAAGTAACTGTTAACTTCTTAAAATCACTTAATAGTTCATTTTTGAATTGAAGAAAATAATTTCAAAAACTTCCCCAACTGCTGTTTGAGGACATAATTAAAAATTGTGTAAGTAAGGTAAATTATAGTAGATGATTACTTGAGATATTAAATCACATGTAGTCCCTTGTATTTACCATCATGAGCAATGCAAAAGCAACTCTTAATTGATAGGCAGTGCCCCAAGACACTGATGCAGAGGACACAGGGCATCTATGGGGGAAAGTGCTTAAAAGCATAGGTAGGGGGACAGAGGACAAAGTTTTCCATCCCCTATAAGCCTGTTAATGTGCCTTTGATGGGCAAAAGCTCATTGAAGGAAAAAAAAGAAACACGCCAAGTGTCCTCTTGAAACACGTGCCACAGATTGCAGATGTCTGCTAAGATTCAGGAGTGCAAAAGCAAACTAATTTAACCCAGAAGTCCTCACCCTCAGTAGGGGTTTGTACACTTCTCTTCTGAAAATGAGAACACTACTTATTTTCCTTTGGCAAAAATAATGGCAGCAAATCCAGATAGCTAGTGTCGTATCATAGCAACCTCAACTTCTTATAGCAAGTGACTATGAGGCTTCCTAAACAATATTTAAACCATCCAGTTTAAACCAAAAAAATGTCTCTTATTTATACTGCTAAACTACATAACAAGGAGATCACTTGATTATCTAAACACCAAACCTAGGATAACCGATTTTAAAGTTATTACCATTAATGAACACAAAAATAATAAACATTTATTGAATGCTTACTAAATATGTGTGAGAGTATGTATGTATGCATAGATGTGCTCCCCTCCCCGCCCAATAAAGACTGTAATACTATATACTAAAATGTAAACAATTGTTCCAGTTTTTGAGTTATTTTAATTTTCTCTTTAATGTTACAAATAATTCACAATAAACATAAATTAACTACAAAATGGAAAAGGATTTTTAAGTAATTCAAGCTCTTCAAACCCTTCCTAGAGTGGTACTAAAAAGAGATAGCATTTTAATATTAGGGTTTAAAGGCAAGTCTTTAGGCAGCCCAGAAATCTTAAGATTCAGATTTGCCTCAAATATACATTTCCCATAGCAACACTTAAGTTGAATTCTTTCAAAACCACCAAATTCCAGAATTAAGGAAAGGCTTTATAGTAGATCATTAATTTAATCACAAACTATAAAAAAGGATTAATATTTATAACCTTTATGTATTCTTTTAATTTATCATTTTCTGCTTCCTTTTTATGTATTTGGAGCTGTAGTCGTTCATGAACTACTTTAACTGATTGTGAAAAACGGCTAGCTTTCAAAGCATTTTCCTAAAACAGAGAAGAAAAAATGTGTTATTTGATCTACTTCTCCACAATCTTTAACTTTACCTTTATTTAAACATTAACTAAAAAACTGATAAAAAGCAAAGTAACACTTTACATAAACCATGATACCCACACCCCATTACATATGTATTTTATGCACAGCTATCTGGGATGTTTCCTCCTCCCTCCTTTTATTTAATTATCTCTTTTTAAAAATTCCCATCTATGCTCCTAAGTAAAATTACGGGTATGTCTAAAATGCTCTATAATACAAATTTATACACAGTTCCTAACATACAGTGATTTAAGCCAAGTACCCCGACAGAACACCATAAAAATCTAACAGAAAAAAACTTTTAAAAATTAAGATAGGCTATTGCTATGTAAAATACCCAAATAATCTAAAAACCTTTTTGTGTCTATTTCTGAGGATATGAGAGCCAGGATGGAAAGAAGGGAAAGGAGTCAATATTAAGAAAATAAATGAATTAAGCTCAAAATCTGCTTACCTTTTCATTCTGAAACAAACATAAAAGTTCTTGGATATAGGTCTCTTTTTCAAGTACCTTCTTCTTAAGATCCTTCAGCAAATATAATGTTAGAGTTAGGAATATCATAACATTAGTTAATTTTATAAAGAGGAGCAGCATACAAACAAAAATGTCAGGAGAATAGACACAAGTGTAAAAAGACTTACAGAATTTTCACTTTCATTATCAGTTAGCTCTTCTAATATGCTGGATAAACTGTCACCTATCTGTGAAAAAAATGCTATAATCAGTGTTCACAAATTACATTTCTCCATATAAAAAATAGAAAGTGGAATAAGCATCAATTAAGAAATTAATATGAACAACTACAATGCACAGTGCAGATTTTTTAAAATGTTAACATCAGAAGAATTTTTGCCTAAGTGTTCCAAATGATGTTTTGTCCACAATTCATTAAATTAATTAATTTACTAAATTAATCTCTAAATAATGTCTTAGAAAGTAAAAAGTAAAGTTAAAGACTGTGGAGAAGTAGATCAAATAACACAAGCCAATGAAATAAAAATCACTAAAAAATCTTGTATGCAGAGGAAGCTCACAGTGCTATTAATAAATAGGTAAAAAGTATAAACAACCTAATTTTACCAATAAGAATTACTTTTAATTATGGTAAATTAGTAACAGAATCCTATGTAGACATCTGAAATGAGAACAAAGAATAATGTTTATCCATTTGAGCATTATATTCCTGCTTGAGAATGTGAAAAAGCTATGTATTTCTTGCACCTACAAGCACATATGCTTGTAACCTGTAATGCAAACTGTATACACAATTTCAGAGAGTTCATGAACTTTCATGAAACCCTTCCATATGCTCTATAAGGTCACACGGTGGAATTGCTTGGTACACGTTTTCATTTCTCTAGGTGTACACAATTTATAAATGAATGTTCACAGCAGCTTTATTCATGACAGCCAAAAAGTAGAAGCAACTCAAATGGCCATCAACTGAGGAATGGATAAATAAAAGTGGTATAAGTACTGATACATGCTCCAACATGGATGAAACTTGAAAACACTATTAAATGAAAGAAGGCAG